CGTGGCAGTTTAAATTTCTCCGACCTTAATCCCTTAATCTATTACAGAACCTACCTATTGTATTTATTGTGAACTTGTTCTCGTCCTGAATATGCATGAAATATTTGCCACTGGACGTTAAGCAACCAACAATCAATCAATCAATCAATCAATCAACGTCAAATTTCATGGTTGACCTTGACCTTTATGTAATAGAATCTTGTTAGACCTGTATCTCAAAAACTACAATATATAGAGAAAAAATGAAATAATGTAAAAAAACTGGTTCTGGCTATTTGCAAAAGAGCATGCTGGTAGGGTGAACGTATAACAAAGATGTAAAGACAGTTCATACCTTTAATCATATGGTAATCAAATACAAAATTATTGTAAATACATAATTATTGCCCTAGTAAAAGTGTACATTCAACCATGATTCTTCTTTTAGTGAAAGCAAGTTTGTGTATTAAAAGTGAAAGATACCTAAATTTCAATAAATGACATGACAAGCACATCTTCCTTAAATTTTGATTTCCTGAATTTCTTGTACTCGTTACAGATACATTTTAAGAATTAGTCGAACATTCTTTAACTTCAAAATTATCCATAATTAAATAATATTTTAAATAATATAATAGTATAATTTGTCTGTTGCCTTTGGGTATAAAAGGACTTTGTAGTGTACCTGTGCTGACAGAACTATTCCTAAGACCTCGGCAAATCCGAAACATCCCAGCAAACCATGGTTTGATGATGCTTGTGATCAAGCAATAGGTGACCGTAAAAAATCTGAAAGACGGTTCAATCAACAACCAACGACGGAAAACTTGAGTAATTTCCGTGTTTTTCGCGCTAAGGCACGGCGGACTTGCAGGCAAGCACGACGAACGTCTTGGAAGAAATTTGTCTCGGAGATAACATCTCGCACTCCGATGACAAAAGTATGGAACATGATACAAAAGATAAAAGGTAAAAATTCTAAAGCCACAGTTAAACATTTAAAAAATGGCAATGATTTATTAACATCTGAGAAGGATATTGCCAACAAGCTTGTGAAACTTTTGCGAAATCTTCTTCTTCTAACAACTACAGGGAAGATTTTAAAAAAGTTAAAAAACAAAAAGAAAAAATTAAATTAAACTTTAAATCAAAAAATGGTGAAAATTATAATAAACTCTTTTCTCTTGAAGAACTTAAAACATCTCTGTCAAAAGCCCATGATACAGCTTGTGGGCCTGATAATATTCACTACCAACTGTTAAAACACTTGCCAGATTCCTCGCTGGAAGCTCTTTTGCAGCTTATGAATAACATCTGGGAATCTGGTGATTTACCATCAATCTGGAAGCTTGCAACCGTCGTGCCTATTCCAAAACCAAGTAAAGATCACACGGATCCTATTAATTATCGACCAATTGCTCTTACCAGTTGTGTCTGTAAAACACTAGAACGGATGGTCAATGATCTCCTTGTTTGGTTCCTGGAATCCAATGGGCTTTTAGCCAATATCCAGTGTGGATTCCGCCAAGGTCGCAGTACTCTTGACCATCTTGTTCGATTCGAATCATTTGTCCGTAATAGTTTTGCGAAAAATGAACATGTAGTGTCGGTCTTTTTCGATCTAGAAAAAGCCTATGATACTGCATGGAAGTATGGTATTTTAAAAGATCTCTTTGATATGGGGTTGAAAGGCAATATGCCAAATTTTATTTCGAATTTTCTATCTAACAGACAATTTAATGTTAGAGTAAATTCAACCATGTCTGATCTGTATGATCAAGAGATGGGTGTCCCTCAGGGCAGTATTTTATCTGTTACATTATTTAGTCTTAAAATCAACAGCCTTGTTGAAGTTTTAAAAAGTAATATTGAAGGTTCATTGTATGTTGATGACTTTTTAATATGTTATAGAGGCAAAAATATGAATAACATAGAAAGACAATTACAGTTATGTCTTGGAAGAATTGAAAAATGGGCCTCGGAAAATGGGTTTAAATTTTCCACTTCAAAAACGGTCGGGATGCATTTTTGTAACAAAAGGAAATTGCATCTTGATCCAGAACTCACTTTGTACGGCAACCCAATTAAAATGGTTGATGAAACCAAATTTCTTGGGTTAATTTTCGATAAAAAGTTAACCTTTCTACCCCATATCAAAATGTTAAAATCGAAATGTTTAAAAGCATTAGATATTTTGAAAGTTGTCGGCAGCACCGACTGGGGTGCTAATCGCAACATTTTACTTAATTTATATAGATCTCTAGTTAGATCTAAACTAGATTATGGCTCTATAGTGTATGGCTCTGCAAGGAAGTCCTACATACAGATTCTCGATGCTGTGCATCATCAGGGTTTGCGTCTCTGTCTTGGCGCATTTAAAACCTCACCAGTTGAGAGTCTGTATGTAGAGGCTGATGAGCACTCACTCGCAAAATGCGAAAATGGGGACCGCCAACGGAAACCCTGGGTATGAATGGCGGGGAATTTGACTTTGAATTTCAATCAAGGCCATTTTAACTCGTATATTGACTGGCAGCTGAAAGTTTGGACAATTTTCTATCTAACACAGAACTAAACGACGTTGCACGATTGCATTCGTCTGTTTTCATTTAAAACAAAACGCGGTAAAGATAGGTTGTATGGTATGAGGATGAATTCATATTCCCGCTCTAAGAAAATTGTGAATTTTTAATTTTGTATCATATACGTTCTTAATGACATCGAAAACAAATATTTTAGTTGCAATCATGGACATATTCCGGAAACAAAATCTTAGTAACAGGCTCAAATTTTTCGTAACAGCTTCTAACTTGATTGCCAAGAAATCAACTATACCGAGGTGTATTTAAAAATAACCAAGAAGTCTACGAATGTTTGCGAAAGAATCCGGATTTCTTTTTTTTTTATTGTAAACGTATATTACCTTAATTTATCAATTTATAAAATGAAGAGATGTGGTATGATTGTCAATGTAACATTTATCCACCCTAGAACAATACCGTTGCTGTTAGCAACTAAAGGTTATCGTACGGCATTCAACAATGAACAACAGCTATTCCACATGGCAAGCAATAAAAGGCCCAGATATAGCAAAACGTAAAATATTTCAAACGAGAAAAAACAACGTTGATGTTTTTCCCTTTTTTATGATAAATGTTTATTTGTTGAAATTAAATGTATCCCACTTTAAGGTTTGTAAGAACATGAAGAAGATATGAATAAAAGTTATTGTTAAAGAAAAGAGACGCATTCGATCAGCACACAAAAAAAAATCACAAAATGACATTCGATGTAAAGTACCGAACTTTTCACTTTTGTGTGGAAGGATTCCATCTATGTTGTATTTGTTTTCAGTGTCTTATCCTGTCTACTTAATTTTTGATTTTTTGAATTTCTATGATTGAGATACGGTTAAAAGCAAATGATATAAATATTCACCAGACAGTTGTTAGTGCATCAACTGAAATGTCTTGCCTGTTTCACTGATTACTATTAGACATGTTAGATGCAGGTTAAAAGTCTTTACTTCAAATATCAGACAATCTTAACATTGTTGTTAATGAGTCAGAAAAATATTAATCCGGAAATGAGAATTTATTACGTAAATACAAATTTAAAAACTCTCTCTATCAATATAATCTACAACGCCTTGATTTAGCCAATGGTTTTGAAAGTGGAGTTAAGCACCAACAATACATCGTCAGTGGTAATGTAATAATGTGTCTATTTTTTTTCTTCAAAAATTTAGTACATATGGTAATTTTGTTTTGTTTAGGTACATGTTGACAACCGTTGACTTCTAGATGTCGTTTGGCCGATATCTAAATGACGAATACCACCGCCTGCATGTTGTATTCTCCAAATTAGTAACATTAATTAGTTGTTTGTGTTTAGCGCCACTTTAAACACACTTAGTTTGTCATGTCGGCCAGTTTAATTGGTAGAAGAAGAGCTCGGGTGTCCTAAGTGTATAACCGCCCTATGGCAGGAACTCGATTTTAACAAAGTCAGAATAAACGACAAAACATGAAGTCAATGTTTTTGATTTTGAATTTGTATATTTCAATTTTATCTTAATTATCTTCTGGTCACGACCTTGTACACCATATGCACACCCATACGATTTTGTATCGTATTGTATCTGTTATTGACCTATTATTCAAAGTAGGTAATATCCTAAACAAAGTACGCATTATTTCCTATACTTTGTTATTCATTTCAATTAATCCAACACTGACTATAAAAATGTTAAACAGCTGGTTAACACAGTAAAAGGACCAACAGTTACTGTTAGTTGCATTTCCCTATTAAATTTAAGCACCTTAAATATTCAGTGATTCAAACAAAATTCCCATCAGTAGGCTACTAATCCCTACCGTGTGCTCCTTTGTGTATTGATGTATTTTAAGCCTCAAATTGGACTATAGGATTGATCCGCAGATATTTTTCAGTAGTTTTTCTTTTAAATTATAAATGTGGTCCTGAAGTATTTCCTGTAAAATATGTTTATTATTTTTTGTTGCACATTGACGCTGTGCTATCATGAATTAATGAGCCAAATGTCGACAAACCATTTTTTTCTGAAGAAGATTTCAACAATCTTTCTATGTCAAATTGATTATATATATATAGTTCAAGTTAGAAGTGCTGAACATTCAAATGATGTAACAATGTGAAATGAAGGATTTGGGATACTTTTTTTCATCGGAAGTCGTGTATTGATACTGGTACGAGTATTTCTATCAATCCACACCTCTGTGTAATGCCATCCCTTACATATATGTGACTGCGACTAACAAAAAGGGCCCAGATGCGGCATTTACGATTTCGTATTATGACGTCGTAAAGTTGACGTTCTCAAATCTAAACGAGCACCTGTATTTCGTAATTACCGATTTGCAATTAGGTTTTGAAAAGGGTTGAAAATAGACTGAACTTTTGATACTTATAAAATTGTATAATATTTCCACATCAATTATTAAAAAATATTTATTTGATTACCTTGAAATGCATAACATGGAGCGTAAACCAGTCACAAAACTTTTAATTGCCCCCCTTTGTATTTACATTGGATACAAAAGTAGAAATGGCGGTCTTAGTATAAAACAGATAAAATGAGCCAGGAAAGTCGATTTTCGGCAAGTCAGAGTAGCGTACCGCCTGAGATTTTGCAGAACCAAGATGATGATTTCATAAATGAGTTGAATAGGGTCGACGAATTATATTTTTACGATTACGAATGCCCCGAGTCCGAGATTAATTCTGATGTTGAAAACTTTAAATCTGACAATGACGACGACAATGTCGATCATTTAGTCGAACCTTCAGATGACGATACACGAGAATATATTGCACAGGCCCGTTTTAGAAATGACACTTGCGGGTGCAAAGAATTTTATGGCGAACCTTGTAGCCAAATCATTGAAATGGACGCCGTTATTGAATTCCGAGAGCACTGCAAGGAACTTTCTAAAGATGAACTTGATATGATAATCAAGGCTGAATTGTTTGCACACAGGCGTTCTGGTAGTGTCACTGAAGCCAAGAAATCACAAAATTAAAGAAAGGGAACGCCCATACCAGGAGTTTTATTTCAAAGGAAAGCGAGTATGTAGACAGACATTTTGTTTTATCCATGGGGTTGAAAAGAAGAAATTACTTTCTATTGCAAAATCACTCGATGTAGATGGACTATCTCCTAGAACTCATGCTAGCACAGGGAAACTTCCAAAACATGCCCTTACATTTCAGGATTCAGAAAGGATGAAAACATTTCTTATCAAATATGCTACTGATAATGCTTTGCCTCTACCAGGCAGGTTGCCTAATTACAAGAACCATCAAGTTTTGTTGTTACCATCTGACAAAAATTCAGTTGACATTCATGCAGATTATGAAAAACTTGCAATAAATATGAAGTATAGAAGTGTGAGTGTAAGAACATTTCAAAGACAGTGGCATGATTTATGTCCCAATATTGTAGTTACAAAGCCATGTACTGATTTATGCCAAAAGTGTCAGGAATATGCTGGTAAAATATCTAATAGTGGAAATCTGTCTGAAGAGGAAAAACAGTTATTGTTAAATCAATATAATATCCATGTACAACTGGCAAAAGAACAAAGAGACTACTACCGTGAGCAGGTTAAACTTAGCAAACAAAACTACATGGACTTGCCAGATGCACTGAAACAATCAGGTAATATATATATATAAAGGTTAAATAATTTATTCCACCAAAATATGACTTCTGTATTAATATTACATATCTCTTTATGTCTCTCCTAAATATCTGTTCATATTCATAAAACATACTTTTGAATATTTTTATTATTATTTATATAATATGTTTCAAGTCCTTACCAAATAGTCAGTGCATGCATTTTGTTCATATGTAGAACAGTAGTATATATACATGTAAGTGGTGAACTTTATTCCATACTTTTGTTCACATGTGACAGTTCATTCAGTTGTATATAATTGGTCAACTTTATTCCAGACAACCATTAATCATATTAATCATGTTAATAACATACACAAATCCACAATCTTGACACTTCTACTTCTAAACATGCATGTACATGTCTCAATATACAATGTTCATGTATCCTTTTTGGACTTAATATTACTTGGATTAGATAATTAGATTCAATTGTACTACAATGACAGTAGGAATATTTTTTTTAATAAATGGCAAAAGCTTTTATTGAACAGGCTATCCTCAATCTTATGTATTTAGTTGTTAACTCTTACATGTGTTTTACAGGAAATTCTCCACAGTCAGTACAGACCACTCTACACTATTCCTGGGATTATGCCCAACAAGTTCACTTTCCTCACCATGCTCAGCAAGTGGGACCCATTTATTTCAAAACACCAAGAAAATGTAATGTGTTTGGAGTCTGCTCAGAAGGATCTGGTAATTTTTTATTGGTTTTTTATTACATTAAATATATGCTTTTGATAGTTAGAAACAGTAGCATGAACATGTGATTTATTATAATTTATAGTTTTAAAACAGACTGATGGACATAATCACTGGACATACAAATTTATATTTGATGTACATGATCATTGACTTGTAAGGTGCAGTTTTCAAGGTCAATAACTCTGATATAAATAACTATACCCTTATGATTCATGTATGTATTGAGTTAAGTTACATACATGTATATGGAAATAAATTTCTTAAACATGATTTATCTTTATTTATTTACCTCTGTTGCACACATCATGTACTAGTACATGTTAAATTGTACTGTGTGAATATACTATTGTATTAGATATGTATGCTTTTGTTTTAAACGTTTTCAAAATGGCTAATGGTAAATTTTGTATGTAATGTTTTGTAGGAAAACAAAGTTTCTATTTGATTGATGAAGCTGAAAGTATTGGCAAAGGAGCACACCCTGTTGTTAGTATGGTGCATCACTATTTCAACAAATTTGGTCATGGAGAGACTGATGCTAAAATCCATTTTGACAACTGCACTGGTCAGAACAAGAATAATGTAGTATTATGGTATGCATTATGGAGAGTAATGACAGGTAACTATTATTTGATTATGTTACATTATTTCACACAGTGTTATATTATATTCAAACTATAACCAAGACAACAATTTATTGATAAAAGTTTAAAATTCTCTTTTTAAATAAACAATACTGATTTTATTCTATCTGTATTTTTAGATTAAGACATACCACATCTTCTTTTTTCACAATGTATGCAGAATATGTTATAGTGATAGTTCTGTGATTAGAATCAACATTTCATGTTATCAACATTCAAAAGATTTATTTATTTTTATAAGTATAGCGCTCCTTCGTTCAATTAGATTTAATAGTGACTTAATAGGCTATTAATGTTAATTAACGTTTGTGCAACGTAAATAATAGACTATTAAATTTAAGTGTACTTTTAATAGACTATTAACTTTAATAGACGTTTGTGCAACCCAGTCCAGATGTATATATTTTGCATACAATATTTATTTCTAGTATGACAACTTTAGTTACTGGTATCTTGTTAACTTTCTCATTTTGGTATTTGCTTTTTTAAAATAAGTATTTTTTGTAATAGAATTTTTATTTTTGTTTTGCCAGGATTACACAAAAGCATAGAATACTCAATGATGATTGCAGGACATACCAAGTTTGAGCCTGATTGGCATTTTGGTGTTTGGAAGTTACACTGGAGAAATTCAGCAGCAGAAACATTATCAGAGGTAGATAATGGTAGTTTATATAATAATTAAAACTACAATTTAATATACAAGTACATGTATAAACATTATTACTTGATTTAAGATAGAACTATCAATGTTTTTTTTCTAAAGTCATTTCAAATAGTTAATATTTCACCTATTCAATATGATCAAAGGGTAATAACTCTTACACATATGAAACCTGGATTAGTTCTTTGGATTAATGACATAACATTAGTTTCTTAAAATGTTTTATTTTGTACACAAATTACAAAATGTACTCATAATTGATTCAAGCATAGATAGCATATCCAGTTTTTACCTGAGTTAGTTTCTAAATTTATAGATTTATCTGACTTGCATATTATTGTCATCTGTTTTTGATGTCTGGCTGTATTTTACTGTAAAGTCACCTTCTCAAATTTTCTTTTTTTAAATCTGTATGTATTTGTTAGTACTCTCAAATCATTTATGAAAAGTCTTGCAGTTGATTTATTGATCTTTGTTTTATTACAGGTAGCTGAAACTGTGACAAGGTCCAGCAGAAATGGACACAACATACCACAAGTTGTAGGAAATACACAAGATCCTGTAATGTTTTATGAATGGAAGCCTTATTTTCAACAGTACTTTAAAACTTTGAAACATATAACTGACTATCATCATTTTTACATTGATTCACAACACCCAGGAGTAGTAACATGCAGAGAAAATGCATCTTCAGAATCATATACATTCAATTTACTGAAATGTAAAACTAAAACTCCACCAGGAGGTGAGCTTCCTCAACCATCTAACATCAAAGGACTTGAACCTGCCAGGCAGTGGTATTTATATGAGCAGATAAGACAGCACTGCTACTCAGATTCAGCTAAGAACATTACATGTCCGAAACCACTGGTTTCTAAAAAGGAAATAGACTTAACACAACAAGACCAACACAATGCCAAATCCAATGGAGGAAGAAAAAAGGCTCTGCTGAACTAAATAAAATGATAAAATATTTCAGCGAAAATCATTTGAATTTTAACACAATGCTTGTACTATTTAAAAATAAAGAGATGTGTTATGATTACCAATGAGACAAGTTTCCACCTAAGTTTAAATAAAGTGGATGTAAGCAGTTATAGGCACATGTATGGCCTTCAACAATGAGAAAACCCATACTGTATAGTCAGTTATGAAGCAGTTTAATTGAGAAAAGTAAAGGACTAATTAAAAACAAAACAATTTACCAAAAAAAAATATGGCAGACATGAACCAATAACCTGTACATACAAAATTAATGAAGTAAACAAATTAAGCAATTCTATGATTACTAGAAATGACCTATTACTAAAAAGTCAAACTCAAAGTGGATGTTGTGTAAGCTTCCATGAGACAATCACCAGAAAAAAATGAACTATTTCAAAATAAAAATGTATTTTGAAATTATTTTACTCTATCAAGGCAACAAATTGTTATTTTAGTAAATAATGGCACAAAAAATATCCCATATCTGATGGTGAGGATTGGGGTTTACAGAATAGAGAAAAATGGGCAAAAAGAAAATAAAAGGACCAAAAAGATAAAGAATAGAAAATTCAATGTACTGGGCAAAAAGTATTAACAAAATTGAAATGAAGGACCCACCATCCAGACCCTCATAGCCTATATATTTATCTATTATAAAAAGAAACCATTTGTTTCTTCTTTTATATACATGTAATTTGAAATTTAAAGTTCTCTAAGAGTTAAAGTTCATCACACAATCTGGAAAAAATTAAAAAAATTATTAAAAAATAAAAAAATTTTAAAAAAATTGGTAGCCATGGTCATGATGGTTACCGATTTAATAGTTAAAAATATATATCAGTTAGAATAAATCATACTTTTTCAAATTATTTGACAAACCTTAAACATAAATTTAAGGTGTCTAATTATAGAATGAACAATTTTGGAAGAATACACATTTACAAGAAAAAGTCTTGAGTTTTTCGAATGATATCTTCAATTTGTCAATTTATTTCCAAGATACATGTAAGTTACGAATCATGAAATGTTTTTTTCTCAGAAACTACTTGTGCTATCCCCTTGACATTTTTACAGAATGTTATTTATGATAATTAGGCTCCAAAAATGCAAAAAAATCAAAATATGTATTTTTCTCATCTGGACCCATTTTCTCAGTCATGGTCACATATTTGTATTTCTTTACGTTAAGCAGACTCTATTTAAATAATGTATCAACATTTTGTTTCGGAAACAAGTACAAAATGTATACTAATAAATGAGTAAACGGTATCTATTTATCTATTTTTGGTTCTCAATATAATGGAATTTGATGCGACTGTCATACTAGTGAGAGGTTTAGCTAGCTTTAAAACCAGGTTTAATCTACCATTTTCTACATAAGAAAATGCCTGTACTAAGTCAGGAATATGACAGTTGTTATCCATTCGTTTGATGTGTTTGAGCTTTTGGTTTTGCCATTTGATTAAGGACTTTCCTTTTTGAATTTTCCTCGGAGTTCAGTATTTTTGTGATTTTACTTTGTACTCAGCGACAAAAAAGGTATGGGGTTCATTATCATTTAAAAAGAACCAACCTATCCGTAAGTAAAATTTACAGTATGATAGCAACCGCAATGAAAGTACCTCGAAGTTTTTTAAATAGCAAAAGATGACCAAAAATTGCAATTTATATAGATTTTGACAATAATAAGATATTTGTTATGAGAACAAAAATTATATCTATCAATTAAGGATGTATTCTTCTGACGTTACAGTCTCGCTGAAATCTCGTTCTGGAATTATTTCCAAAACATGTGATACAAGTAGAAAATATCAATGAATTTAAAAAATGTTATAATCAAACTTAACTCTGTGAAAAAATTGTGTATTTACAATGAGCAGTTTTTGCGTAATCAATTTTTCAAATTGTATTACCAATCAAGTCAGTCTATTTAGCCAAAATGTTGAGAAAATGGGTGAGGGGAACAAGAAATGATTTTACCAGAAACATGTACATCCCATATCACTTTTTTCTTTTCAAATTTCTTAGATATGTATTTGTTCAATCATTTATAACAAAGAAGTTGAAATAATATGCATTTTGTTCTTAAAACAGAGAACAATCACAATTTGGCAAAATTGACAGCATGGTAAATTTGACACAAAACATCATCAAAATATGATGAAACTTTCTTATATTAACACCTACCTATAGTTTTTTTTAAGTTAAATTTATTCAGATTGGTCCACTTCATCTTTATTGAAAGTATGAAAAAAAGTTTAATTGTGGAACTGTGATTTTTTCACGATAAAAGCCCAAAAATAGGTAAAAATTGATGAAAAATGGGGAAATCATCAAAATTGGGTACCTTCAAAAGGGCCGTAGCAAAAAAGAAGTGCACCACCATGTGATTTTTCTTCACCAATTATTTTTTTACAGTCATATAAACCCAAAAACCAGGTTAGAAAAAAAATTTAATTCTAGAAATTTTTGGCTCCTCAGAGGTGTACATCCTTAAAGTAAAACCATGCTTGGCTTTAAAATCATTTAAAATTTGCGATATTGTATCAGATCTTTTTGTTTTTGAGTCTAAAGACACAATTAACGTTAAGCGAGTTTTTGAAGATTTGAACATAAAGGTTTGTTTGTTTTGTAGTGGTTCAGTCTTCTTGACCAATATTATCAGTGGATACAACTGCAACAACTGCCACTGGACGTTAAATTAACAAAAATTGAATTATGTGTTTCAAGAGATTGTGGAACTGAACCAAATCATAAGGCTCTGAGTTCTCGCGACACATTTACCAAATATTCACGAGACTGAAGGTTAATGAGGCTTTTAGCTCTTGCGATACCTTCACCAAACATTCACGAGGCTGAAGGTTAATAAGGCTATTAGTTCTCGCGATACCTTCATCAAATATTCACGAGAGCTGATAATGAAGCTTTTAGTTAGATACCTTCACCAATTATTCATGAGACTGAAGGTTAATGAAGCTTTTAGCTCGCGATACCTTCACCCAATATTATCGAGACTGAAGGTAAACAAGGCTTTAATAAAAATCGAAAGACAAAAGGAGAATAAGCAGAAACGCGTTACATGCACTGATTCGTACATAGACAGTATTAAAGCATAAATTACCTATAAAACAATGGCATTGGACAATATAAGGGGGTTGGCTACCTTGAAATCCATTTTCTTTTTCAATTTCTTGCTCAATGCATTTGATGCTCAATTTGTTGCAAGAGGTGTGCATAAAAATCGTGTGTTGCGGGATATCATATTTGTTTTATTTTTTTTTTTCATTGTTTTTACATAATTCAGTCCGTTAGTTTTCCTCTTTGAATTACTTGACATGTGCCATACCGGGACCCTTTATAGCTGATATACTGTATGGGTTTTGTTCATTTTTAAAGGTCATGCAGTGACCTACAGTAGTTAAGTTATATGTCATTTAGTTTCTGGTGGAGAGTTGTCTCATTGGCAATCATACCACATCTCGTTATTTTTATATTGATTGCTGTATGAGAATTCATTTCTGTTTTACTCGAATTTCGGTCATAATGAATCATTAATGAGTGTCACAAAAGTAATGAATTTTAATCCATGATATACGTTTCTTCGAATAATACCTCATATCCTAACCCCACCTCTTTTTTAGATCGTAAAATAAATAAAAAGTCATGTTTCTTACAATAAAAGAAAATAATTTAGCATTAAATCGTGCAACAATTTTGTATTCTTGCCCTGCTCGACAGTATAGAATATGTTTTCTCCAATTACGCCCCCTTTTAAAAAATCCTGCATCCGCCACTCATGGCGTGGGCAAAACACTGTTATTCTCTTTTCTGTAAACCCAAACCACATCCAGACCCTCGAACATGCAGTTATATAACGACGTCTATATCCGTTAGAACGGATGTACTTAAAGTATATTTCTTAAATCAAGGACAAAATTGACAAAGCTCAATCGGTACGTCTCTACCATTGTACTTTGATTTACGAGAATAAAGATATATATATATATAATGTACGTTTTTCCTGTTTAATGACCGTTATCGATTAACGTAGATTGCAATCCGTTAGAGGTTATCCATGACCTCATTGTGACAAAGGCTAAACATATATTGGGATATACTGACTTATGCATGATATATAAAGAACGAAACTAATCCAAATCAGATTTTGTTTATTATGATATTCTAAAATACATTTCTTTTTAGGCAGAAATTACAAAAAAATAATTATTATCTGGTTTGACTGTGAAACACTGATTTTAGATTTACATTGTACACAAAATATTATAAAATATTTTATGTCACACCCTTTGATTGGAAAACATATCATGTTTTAACATATAATCGTCAAAAATTGTTTTAAGTCTCACTATACTCGGTGATATATTTTTTAAATTTTATGGAATAACTCCCCTTTCAAAATCCATGGTCCGCCCCTAAAGGTAAGAGTACTTTTGAACTGTGCAGTAACTGTGCATTATCCAGATTATAGCACAGCAAGAACAAAGAGATTTTACCCATGTCATGTGTTAACTTGTGTTACCCATGTTAGTTCGTACGTTCGTCCGTTTGTACGTCCAAAATTAGTTTCGTTCTCTAACTTTAATTTGTCTCAACCAAATGGTATGAAACTTATACACAATGCTTGTTACCACAAAACACAGATCAAGTTCAAATTTTGTTGCGTCATTTTTACCGTTATTTTTACCTTTCTCGAGTTAAAGTCCCTCTTTAACGTTATTGCAAGCGGGGGTATTGTCCGTGTCCCATTTATTATATATATACAAAAAATATTCATTTTTCCACTTTTTTAAATGGATAGTTTGATTAAAAATACATCAAAAAGTATTGTTGCATGATATATATGAAAAATAATGACAAAAATCTGAATTGAACTACATTTGACAATTTTTCCTGTTTCCTGTTTCCGGAAAATCGTGATACACATCTTACTTTTTTACAAAAAGTAGTAATTTCTGGTTTTGAAATTTTGTCAGTTTTCGTACACAATCTTCTTTGTTATCTTTAAATAGAATACATTCGACAAACTTTCCGGTTTCCTATCATCAAAGATTTTATTATAAAATCTCATGTTTTCGTTTTGAAATACTAATTCCCGTCTTCTTTTCCTCGAACATGACCTACCAAATTACACTTATCACCGGTTTTGTACATATATGAGTATAACGACAAGCGCCACATAATAGAGAATAATGGGGTGCTAAAATATGCGGAAAAGACAATTAAAAATTAGAGAATAAAGAAATGAAGGACCCCATCCAGACTTTTATTTTACATGTGAAATCGGTTGATCAATTACGAACAATTAAAAAAACTTGTTGAAAATCATCAGGAAAAATAAGTAATGCAACTTTATTTTCAAACTCGGTGTGGTTAATTGCAATGGTTCAATATAGAACTCATCAAAGATCTATCAAATGTGGTATCAATCCAGTGCTATACAAAAGGGAAGCGACATTTTATTAGTTGTGTGGGTCCGAAACACTTTCCTTGGTTTACCTTCATCATGAACGCTCAAAGCCAAGAAAGTCAAGTATCGAAAAACATAAAAAGCTACATATCAAAAGGGACTTTAAAATAATAGCCAAATTAACCAAGGTCAACTTTTCGTGAAAGTGTTAGTACAATTGAATACTAACACGCAAAGTACACAGACACAATTAGTACTAGCTATCATACGACATAGACTATCGTCTTACCTAAGGATGCATTTTCATAGGTATTTTATTCCGGTTTTTTTTTTGTAACTGAACGTGACCTTTAATCTAG